GAGATGCTAACTGGGAGTGCTTAACAATCACCCACTGAAGTGAATTTGAATTATGAGTGCTGACCATTATCTGTGCTGATAATTATCTGACTATTATCTGTTGGTTATTTGTTTAATTTCTATACCACCCCATAGCTGAACCTCTTTGGACAGTTTACAACCATTCAGAAACACAGATACAATTATGAAATTCAACATACAATACAAATACAATAAAACACAGTATGAAATTTCAATATACAAAATTTGAACAAAGGGTTTGAACAGCTCAAACAATTTAAATTAAAAATTAAACTTAGACTTGTTAAAAATTCTGACATGTTCCATCATGTGCCATTAAGTTCCTGGAAATAGAGAGAATGCTTAACCTGGTGTTGAAAAGATGACAATGTTGACAACAGCAAGCCTTAGTAAGGAGATCATGCCATAATTGGGGCCACCACTGAGAAGGAACCCTAATTTGTTTCCATGCTCCAGCCCCCCTAAGAGATGGCATTTGGGAGAAGGCCTCAGATCTTAGTGTCCAGGGATATGTCAATTGGGAGAGACATTCCATCAGAAAGTGTAGTCCCAAGCCATGTAGAGTTTTATAGCTTTAAGCCAGCACCCTGAATTGGCATTGGCAGTATACGCACAGCCAGAGCCAATGGACCACATTTAGTCTTATATGTTCAAAACTTCTGGTCCCAGTTTTTAATTTGGCTGCTAAATTTGCATAAACTACAATTTATGAACAATATTCAAGGGCAGAGTGCATTGAAATAGTCAAACTTGGAGGTTCCCAGAGCATAGAATACTGAAACCAAGCTATTCTTGTCCAGATAAGGATGTAGCTGAGTCCCCACCCAAACCTGGTAGAAACCACTCCATGACACTGAACTCACCTGAGCCTCAAGAGAAAAAGTTGGCTCGTGAAAAAAAACCCAAACTATGAATCTGCTTCTTCAGGTGGAATGCAATCCCATGCAGTACAGGTTGAACACACTGTTCAGTAAGAACTGCCATTAACATCATCCCAGGTTTGTCTGAATAGCACTTCAGTTTATCCAGTCCAGTGTCACAGCCAGTACTGGTTTAGCATATTCACAACCTGACCCAATGGAGATGAAGAGAAGAAATAGAGTAAGTGGCAATCACTATTGGATATCCAGAAATATGATGGAAAGAATGAATAACAGTACATATTCCATTCTGTTATTTAAAATACAAATAACTGTCTTACTTTGTAGTTGTGTTGTCAACTTGTCTCCAACTTGCAGCAAACATGTGAATGAATACCACCCTAAATGTCCTGCCCTTGACAACCCTACTGAGCTCTTGTAAACTCAAGCTGTGACTTCCTTTATGAAATTGGGAGGGCATTGATCCCTCACATTGTTGGCCTTCCTCTGCTTCTTCTCCCTTCAAATGTCCCTAGCATTACAGGCAGCCCCTGAGTTATGAATGAGTTCCGTTCCTGAGAAAATGGAATTTTGTCTTTAAGTTGAATTTGTATGTAAGTCGGATCACATATAGGAGGCCCTCCACATTCACAGGGATTAGGGGTGCAGGACCCCTCTGAAAGTAAAAAACCATTAATATCTCCCCCCACTACCGCCCAAATTCACCAGTGCCTCCTCTTTGCAGCAAATATACACCAGATACATTATTCCGTCCAAATGCTTTCCGAGCAGCTTTCACATCACTTTCTAACATTGTAGGTTCTTCCTCATAGGATCTTTCTTCTGTCATCTCTTCTGTATAGTTCTTCCCTATAATGTTTACTCCTTCTCTTTATTTTCTCCTGTCAGATAGTATGTCTTTCAGCATTCCTAATCTAGGTTTGAATTTCTCTTGTTTTTCCTCTTTTGTTGTTATCTTCTATTTCTTTTCATTGGCCATTTCAATAGTTCTTTTTGTCTCATAGTCACTGAAAAGTTGCATTCAGGATTCTGTCCCTATATCAGTCACCTTTTGTTTTTGCTTCTTGCCTGACCTTAGCAACTGTGATTATTTCTTCTGCCATTCATCTAGGCGTTTCTTTCTTTTCCTTACAGGAATTTTCTTTTGGATTTCTTCCCTAATAATGCCTGTGCTTTCAGTTTGTTCTGGTTCATGGTCAATTGAATTCAGTAATGCAACTATGTTCTGTATTTGACCTTTTAAATACTTTAGGAATATTATTTAAGATGTATCTTGTTACAATGCTTCTGTCAGTATTTTTTTTCAGTTTTACTGGGCGGGGGGTTTATATTAAGTGTTCATGGACACTACCAGAGGCTGCTCATGGTTTTGTTTTGGCAACATGAATATAGCTTCTCCATCTTGTGCTTCCAATTGCATAGCCTATTTTATTACTGTATTGGCCATGAAGTCCATGTGTACAGTCATCTGACTGGTTGCCTGAATTATGCAATAAACAGATCATTGACTTCACAGAATTTTATGAGGCTTTCTCCTGCTTCATTTCTAAATGCTAGGACAAATTCTTCCACAACATTGGATTCTGCTTTGTCTCTCGCTGTTGCATTCCAGTCTCCTATGATTATCAACATGTCTTGTTGTGGTATGTTATTAATTTGCTCTTGGACACTTGCATAAAAGTTTTCAATTGCTTCAGCATATGTTCTGGAGCATTGATTTGAATGAAAGTTACATAGAATTTTCACAAATTCTGACAGATGTGATTTGGTTGGATTTTGCATTATAGCTCTTTACTGCCTGTGTGACATCTTGCCTCAGTATTAGAACCACTCAATTTCTTCTACGTATGTTTGTTATTTCCAGAGTAAAAAACTTTGTGTTTGTTTGCCTGACTGAAATGTTCCTTTTCATTCCACTTTAGTTTGCTCACACCAAATATTGTGATGATTAATCATTCAATTTCTTGCCTTACGGTTTCCAGTTTTCCTTAATTCAAAGTTCTCCCATTCCATGTTCCAACTATATGTGTTACCCACTAGACTTCCTTTCAGCTTTGATCAAGTTGCGTCACTAGCAACAGTGCTATTTGTACTGGTCTTTTGCTTTTCCCGAGTAGCTTATTGAGTGCCTTCCAACCGGGTTGTCTCATCTTCTGGCACTATCTCTTGTTTCATTTTGAATTGCTTCATTATAGGGTTTACAAGGTAAGAATATTTTCCACTGCCACCTTCAGCACAGTACTTGAGCATCACTGTGCTTAGCTTAAGCATCACTGTCATTGTCTACAAGAGATTTTCCACCAGTGTCTTCTTCAATTACTGCGACTGCCAAACACCCTTCAGGAGTTTCTCTAACACCATCACCATTAGGGTTAACCATTCTATTCTGCTGATATGATCCTTACTCCTGAATAGGGTGGGTGCATCTCAGTCTGTGGTTTCCAGTTTGATCATTTCACCTTGGGTCATCCTGCCAGGAGACCAGTCCAGTGATTCCTTTTCCACTTGGTCCCTGGCAGCAGTGCTGTTGGCTTCTTTGATGTTCTCAAACCCTTTCACCATGCTAAGGTGTGCACCCAAGAGGCAGGACAATTTCCATATAAATTATTTGGGGAGCAGTGCTATTTAATACAGTTAACAATTGCTTGGAAATAAATGCCAACCTGGATAAATCCCAGGCAACATCAAATTGTTCATATTAGCATTTTTACATGTTGCCAGAACAAAGAGAACTATATTCATACTCAGTACCAAACACAGAGTCATGTAGTTCTCTGAAAAAGTAATTTTTAAAGACTGTGATCAATGTACAGATCCAGGGATAGGCAACTTGGTGCCTTCCAGATGTTTGGGACTACAGCTCCAGATTATAATATGGAATACAGAATAATGATTCTATCATTATAACTATATCTCCTGACCATTGGCTAACTATGTTGATGGGAGTTGTAGTTTCAAACATCCAGAGGTTCCTGGTTGCCTACCTCAGTGGCACTGGTTGCACATCTGTTATCTGCTGGCATGCACAATACCTGTGTCTGCTGATTAGTCCTAGAGACTGCTGTCATTTGTATTGATCAGTATATTTTCAGGGGGTAAGTGGCCATTGCTCCCTCTCTCATTAAGGTGGGTTTTTTATTTTTTCTGTCTCTAGAAAATGCTTTCTGCATAAAGTCTTCTCTGAAGTGCCGGTTCTCATAATGACAATCCCCACAGACATACCCCATTGAGAGCCTAAAAATGAAAGCAGCTGTGTGGAGCCCTACCTATAATATAAGTCGGGGTGTATTATATATGTCTGCATGAAACAGGTTATGATGATATCTTGTTGCTGGGAAAATTCCTTCCTTTCCACCTCCCAGCTACTGAGAACTGCAGCTAAACTCGAAAGGAACATGGCAGGTGAGCTGAGCGGCAGATGATGCCCTTGGCCCGCTAACAGAGAAAGAGTGGACGCTTCTGTCCTGTGAGCCCTAGATCCACTGCATCCCCATCTAATGGAAACATCTTGTTCTATTTTACTAGCAACTTCTTTGCACAGCTCACCTATCCATAGATACACATCTGTTATTATTGTTTAGCACCAAATCCGAAGAAGAGTTCTGGACGATTTTAAGGCATGCTCAGTATTTCATGGCTTTGGGTCGATCCTAATGACAGAACGAAATAAATTCCGCTGTTTGCGTGAATATTCCTCCCCTGTCCCCTTTAACGGTGCAGCACAAACTGCCTTGTTGTGAAAAAAGAACGAAAGAAGGCAAAATTCTTTTTTGCACGCGTGCCACTGCGTCTGCCCTGAGAAAGCACACATGGACTCTCTTCTCAGAAGTCGCTGGTTAACTCGAAGAGGGCTCCCTTCTCTCCCATTTGCTCAGGACTTCCCATACATTGCCAGAATCGGGAAGCGCTAGGACCAGGCGTGCGCGGAGAAGCGCTGGCATCGGACGGGAGGGGAGTCGAGACTCTCTTCTATGCAGAGGAGCTGCTGCTGCCATTTCCACTCACACTCTCCGCACTTCCCGCTTACAGAAAAAGGACGCGGAGGGGGGAGGAGGGGGGAGAGGGAGGTTACAGCGCCGGACTGAACGGAGGCGCTCCGCTGCCAAGGCTCACACACTGCCTGCTGCTTCTGCTGCTGCCGCTGCCGCTGCCGTTTCGACTCTGGGCAAGTGAGGAGAGCAGACCGGAGCGGGAGAGGAGAGGGGGACGGAAAGGGAGACGGCTTCGAGAGCTGACGAGAGAGCGGGGGAGAGCGAGAGGAAAGCCCCAGAGCAAGCAAGAAACAGAGACACCCCCTTTTCTCCTAGGACCCTCAATGGCGCAAGGCAAAGGGCTGAAGCTGAGGAAAGTGTGAGCGGGTGGGCGAGAAAGGGGGCTTCTCTAACTTTCCACGCCTCGCAGCGAGATTTGGGAAACGTGGAGGAGGCAGCCGTCTTCCAACGCTGGCCGCTGAAGCCCCCGCGGGAGGTTCAATGCGCTGTTCCGCGCTCCTCCGGGCTTCCTTCTTGAGGTAACTTTTTGGGGACGCCTTGTGGCTGCCGCTGCTGGTGGAGGTGCTTGGAGGTGAGCCGGGAGCCTCGAAAGAAGCGGAGGAAGGACGGGAAGAGAGTCAGAGAGAGCGAGACAGAGCGGACGAGAGAAGAAAGTTTCTTCCGAGGAACGGGGCGAGCTCTTTTCATTTTGTTTAGTGTTGTTTTGCCTGCTCGTCGCTGCACGCAAAGGAGATGATGTGGAAGAGCAGAAGCTGCTGCCGGGGAGTCCGGAGCGGAGGGGACCTCCTGTGCCTGCTCACCCTCTGGCTGGGTTTCTTGCTGCCCGCCTGCCGGACTCGCTTGTACACCAACCACTGGGCGGTGCGGATAACTGGCGGGATCCAAGAAGCCAACCGCATAGCTAGCAAGTACGGCTACATCAATATAGGACAGGTAACCTCCCGCGACAGGCCACGCGCTCTCTCGACCACTTCGCCTCGCTCGCGGCGGGCACACAGTTGCGCCGGTGCTGCTGCGGGGGGAGGGCGAGGGCGGCGGACGCCCCTCTCCCCTCGCCCCCCCCCCGGCTCCCTGCCCTGTCATCTCCTGCGGGCGCTCACGAGGATGATTGACCCGGGGAGCGCGCGCCACGGGGCGACGCAGAGGGCAGGTAGAGGTCCGGCCGGGGCTCAGCCTGCCCCCGCCTTCCCGCCCCTCCAGTGTTTTCGAGGAACCCGGTTCCGTGGCTGGGATGGAGGTGCGGGATGGCGGGGGGGGGGCGAGGGAAGGCAGGCTCGGGTGTGAAGGGACTGGAGGCTCGTGTGGGGAGGGGAGGCTGCTGCTCCCGGGAAGCCTCTTGGCAGCAAAGAACCTGGAGATGGTTTGGGTGAGAGCTTAAGCGGGGGGGAGGGGAGGTGTTGGCGGGGAAGGGAAGCGGGGCTTGAGAAGGGGCTAAGGAGCAGAGCGGCCGAAGAAGAGCCGTTTCTAAACTTCCTGTGCTGAAGAGCGACAGGGCAGGAGACGGAGACCTGCTGCTTGGGATGACGGCTTCCTCCATGTCCGCTCTTAATTCCTGAAAGGAGAGGTGCCGAGGTTAACCCTAACCGGAAGACAAGCCCATTGACTTTGCAGTCCGCCTCCCCCCCCGCCCCCCATACTCCCAGCAGTGCGGTGGTGATGGCGGCCTTCGCGCAAACGGTGTGCTCAGGAACCCCGCGTCTGGGCCATTACAGTCCAGGATTAACCCCGCAGACCCGACCCCAGTAGTGGCCTTGCGCGGCGCTGCGTACTGATCCGCCCCCATTCGGACCCTGCTCCCCCTTTCTGTCCTCGCTTCCCCAGTTTTCTCCCGCACACGTCTACAGACTTGCACACCTTTCTCGTCATCTTTGCCTTCAGGCTGCTTCCAAAAAAACAAAACAAAACAAAAAAACCCGTCAACAGGGCTGGGTTAAGCGAGTTCTAAAAAGAAACGGCTTCTGGAAATGGAGGGGGGTGCGATGTAGGTGGGGAAAGTCAGCCTTGGGTTGGTTTGTGCCCCCGCGCTGATCGCAAGAGCAGGTAGGCACAGACCCAGGGCACGGAGAGGGGATGGAGGGACCGTGCTTTCGACCAGGTGGATTTCCCGGCCGCCTCTGGAACCCTGCCCCCCTGGCTGGGGCTGGGGCTGGGGCTCCCTCACTTGACTCAGAAAGCAGGAATGTGATGCATCTTCTCGGATGTTTGCTCTGCAGTTCTCTGGGTTCGCATTCTGCTGCCTTTAGGATTGCTGTGACAGTCTATCAGGAAGACTGCTGGGGTGACAAAGGTCTTGGGGGAGGGGGAAAGTGGACGCTCCTGGCCACTCGTAGTCAGCACGTTGCCAGATTACAGCCCAGCCTGTTCCCATGTCCTGAACTCTCCCTTGCTCTTTGTGCAGTGAACTTTGAGCTCAGCAAATGGAAATCACAATTTCAACAAGCAGATGGTGTGTGTCCCTCCTCAGAGAAGGGCCAAGATTTTTGCCTGAGCTTCTGCCAGCAAAAGAGAGAAAGGGAGGAGGCAGAATCCAATTTTGTGCCAAGGCTCATCAGGGCTGAGCCCCAGAACTTTTCACCGATAAGGCTGCTCCCCTGAAATATGTGGAATAGTAAGGAATGCCTGTGAGACTGGAGAGTTTCTTTCTCCAGCCGGAAAGAGGATTGCTGTATCTGGTGCTGAATTTTCAATCTTCAGCCCTCCTCTTCTTCTAGTCTGGTTGTGGTTATGGGTGGAGAGATCTGCAGCTTTCCTCCACCTTGTTGATTTATCTGATAAGGGGAAACTTGAAAAGCAGGGGGGTGGGTAGTTGCAGATGACATAAATACAGAAGAGGGGCCATGCCTATCTAGTCAACCTTCCCATTCCTGCTGCGATCAAGTAGGTGCCTAAGGGAAGCCACAAGCTGGACATCACTGCAACAGCAATCTCTTATTTATATTCCCCAGGAACCAGTGGAAGTACATAGTTATCATGACATAACCTTATCCCTTATGCATTCATCTAACCCCCTTTTCAAGCCATGTAATTTAGCAGCTGTTGTTTCTTTTTACCCTCTTTTACTACATAGTGATTTGTGTTGATGGTAGGTATTTGTTGCCTGTCAGTAACAGCAGTCTAGAAAGTGGGGGGGGGGGGGGGTGGGGGGGGGAGGGTTAAAAGCAGGTGTGATTAAAAACCAGAGTGCTGAAACCATTGTATGGTTATAAAATTAATTCTCTGAGGAATTGTCCAGTGTCTGCAAGGAACATTTTGTGAAATACTGAGCATGAGAGTGCCCAGCACAGATGTAACTTTCAAAGTGCTTTGAAAAAGCACTTAAACTTAATTCAGTAGTATTTCTACACCTTTCATTCCATGTAAGGGAATGGCATAGAGTTTGTTTACTAAAGATGCATCTGGGAGATTCTAAATGGATTAAAGTAAATGTCCACTGATCTGAATTAATTTTTATCTAGCTTGTTAGAAACAACTGGAATCTGAAGAATTCACAAATGTTTAGTTCACAAACACCTGGAAGTAGGTAGATCTCAAAACCATCAGTGAGAAACTCAAGGAGATACAAGCATAAAGTAAGGAAACACCTGCTGGATCCACACATACTTAGAAAACTCTCCTATACTGCTATGCTCTTGTCTGCGTTCGCTCTAGGCAAGAAGGAAAAACAATAATAGGATAATCAGTTCTGACATAGTTTCTGTGATAGCATATCACATGTTTCATATCACTTAGCCCCCTAAGCTGCGAAGCATGTTACCCAAAGCATTTAGAAAGTAAAAGAAAAGCATAGCTGAAACAACATGTGACAGGATTTTACACTTACTCTTTATTACTCTGGTACATATCAGTGCTTTCTTCTGATCAACATATTTTATTACACTCATTTAAGAGTTTAGGGTGCAATCTCTAATCTATATAGACACATTTTTATTTGATGCTGTACAAACTCACAAAATACAAGGAAACTATCGCAAAGTTTTTCCTCTGCTTGCTCACATCAAAAGACAGCAGCACTTGTTCTGTTGTTATTTGTGCCATAAAATCGATTCACACATACTATATGATTACAGTGAATGTTTCAAAAACAGTTTATAATAGTCCTTCACTGAAGAACTTCCTTCATCTTTTATGGAAATATGGCATTAGTGCAGGGGTATTGTAAAATTATTTACATCATAAAAGTTGGTTTCTAGCACTGAAGTTGTATACCCAGAGTCCAAAGGGACTGATTTACAGCCTCTTTGTAGAAGTAGCTGTTGGCACTCAATCAGATCACTGAAATTCTTAGTACTTACAATAATGAACACAACCATACAAAAATGAAGCATAAGCTCACCTTGACTAGAAGCTTAATCAGTGTGACTTAATATCATCTATAATTCTAAACCTTTATTTTATTGTTTATTCATAGCTTAATAATTTCAAGTTCATAGGAAAATGCCCTTTTAAGGGAAAAATGGCATCAACAGTACACAGAAGTATTATTCCCAAATCTGTTGGCTCTATATATTGTACTTTTATATATTCCTTGGTATTAGGTCACATGGGGACTGGTTTGGATATGCATTATGAGAGTGCCAAAACATAATGTCAGGAAACACCTGTGGTATTAATAGAATGCTGGTTACGCTTGAAGATGGGGCATATAGTGGACAATATGGAAACGATTATATACAGTGATAAACAGTATGTGAGGAGGTAGTGTTGCTATGCAACTATTTCATTTTTTGACAGATACATGATCAGTGGACATTACTGATGGCTAAGTGTGTTGTAGTATGAACAGTGGTTCCAGTTTTTGGATGCATATATGACTGTTGTCTCAGTCTCTTGTATGTTACAGTATGAATAGTGTTGCATATGCCCCTATATGTCCGTATGATCCATGGAATACAAATAGCAGTTCATGATCATACTCAAGGGTGCTTGTTGACAATTATGGACTTGCTTTAGTCATCATGAGTGGCTGCTTATAATAGTTGTGTTCTATTGTGGCTCTTCATTTATTTTGTTCACTCATGCCTCTATTTTCTGAAGATTAAAAAAAGTCAGAAAACAGGTGACACTTTTAGAGAACCAGCTGAGTTTGAAGTAGAACAGTTAGAGAGTTGGAGTGGGACTCAGGAGATCCAGGTTGTAGTTTTCATTCAGCCAATCTACCTCACATGGCTGTTGTAGGGAGGAAAAAATAGAGAGGAGGTGGTGGATTATGGAAGCTGCCTTGGGTTTCTTACAAAAGGGAAAAAAGTAGGGTATAAATGTAATTTAGTAGTAGTAGTAATAATGGACATATTCTTAATTCACACTAATACAGTGAATAAGGTTGGTCAAAATGTGGCATTATTGTCATTGATCCAAGAGAGGTGATGGCACTGTTTGCTTCATTGTCCAATGGATGAAAGATTACAAACTTCTGCCATGACCTAAGAACACAAGGTCTCTGTTTATTTGTTGACCTTTGTATTCCATGAGAGAGCAAATACTTCCTGGGATATCTTTTAACTAATTTACTTTTAGGACATGGTAACAGGTCAAAAAAGGAGTAATCACATCGTCAGGAATTCTCTTACACAGTTAACAAGCTGTTCTTGTTCGCAAACACATTTCTGTGTGAGTTTATACAAGAAATAATGTATAATTTTACCTGTATCATTAGCAAGGGTCATCTTATTAAGTGCATCACATGCTGTGACTGGAATGTGAAGGTTCTTGTAATGTTTTGTTCCTTATCAAACACATACTAGTATGTTTGTAAACATCACATCTGAAAAAACACACATGTGTAACGATTTTATCTTTCTGCATAGTTACTTTCATTTCTGTAGAATTAAGGTTATTGTTTAAGATGAGTTTGCATACTTGTGTGCCAACAAAGGTAGGCCTGTGAAAGATAGTAGAATTGTAACTATGGTATCCTGTGTGAGTAAGACAGTAAC